ATCTTGGTCAGTTTTGAACAAAGCTAGCAATCAAGGCCTTCTCAAGTACTGAATCCGAATTTATCCAATTTGGCGATTAATTTCCAACTGAGTGAGCTTTGGCGCTTTCTTTGAAGCTTTATTTTCTAGAGAATTCTCTAACCACTACAGGATACTAAATGTGATTTTTAAAAGTGAAAATCATATTTTTGGAGGACTGGCAAATACAGTTTTCTATTTCTTTAAATCATTTGATCAAGGGTTGCAAATACAGTTTTCTATTTCTTTAAATCATTTGATCAAGGGTTGCAATCGAGGTCTTCTTAAATGCCAAAATTTGAATTTTCCCAAATTTTCAAGGATAGGATCTGTGCTAAAATAATTTACAGAACAGGAGCGTGGCTAGATTTCTTTGCTAATCTCGTCGCGTCATTCTCCTCCCCCACACACCAGTCACCAGACACTGTCTGACCCGGTGAAAGATGAACGCCCGTAAAAGTGCTCGGACCTGGGAGGAGTTGCAGGTGCGCTCCATCGCCATTTCGATTAGAGCACCTCTTCTCAACTGGAGCGCACTATCTCTAAATACTTGTGCATCTGAAAAGGAGTGTCACCGGTGATGAAAGGCTGCTGATGTATGACTGTTGCACGGCTACTAGTACGAGTCATGAGATTGAATGAGGAAGAGATGGCTATATGTTATCCGGTAAACTAGAGAAAGTTGTTGAAGTATGTAACGCAACAAATTACACCAGTGTATTAATCACTGTTACGATTGCTTCCTCTTCCAACATCATCCTCCAACACTTTTTGAACTCCATAAAAGTAAGTGATTCCAATGTACGCTATATTCTATTGTTCGTTTCCACACTTACATGATCAAGCTGACATTGGATATGCCCTACACTTATTTGAAGAATTGCTTTCGTGGAATTCTTATGTATCGTTCGTTCCCCAGCAAGATTCCCATAGTCTTTTGAATGTGTTAACCTCGGCCTTCCGTTGAAATCTCAGGAGGAAGGTGTCAGAAAGAGCGAAAGGTAGCGTCGCACCACGTACGCACGCTGGTTCATATGGGAACCTCTCTGGGGTGCAGACGGTATAGCTGCTTTGTTTGTGGAGCTATGCTTGTCGAGCTGTTACAGCTAGGATCGTTCGCCAAAGTTGGCTCGGAGTTCACATATGACCTGAAGATGGTCATTTGACCAATCTTCAATTTGAAGCGGTAGCTGCACAATGATTCGACGCTTGAACAGGCGTTAGTCTTAATGCAATTTACAAAGAAGGGGTTACCTAGGATTCTCTTCAAAAATATGTCACTGTACTAAATTCTAGACTGGTGCGCGAGACGCATCCAGGGAAAATTGCTATGTAGTGCTTAGCACTCTATGAAAGCAACGTTATCAAAAAGGATCAGAATGATTTTGGGCTTCAAAAGTAGCCAAGAACTCGTTTATGTACACAATTTCCGCTCAGAGTGCAACCAGATTCAAGTAAATTTCTTCTATGTTGTGCGATTTTCTTCCACAACTTATCAATCAACTTACTTTGTATCGTTTGCACAATACCTTTGATGTTCATCAGTAGAATTCGCTGATGGTGAATGAATCACCTAGCTTCATCGAGAAAGGCAATCGAGAAAACAGCATACGATCCCTACCAGATGCTAACATCACATCTAAAGATATGCGAACACATTTCCGTGTAGACAACCAGAAAAAGAAACTGTATAAACTATCAGATTGAACCCGATGCCCATTAGCACTTCATGTGATGACAGATTACATTGTTCGGCAACTTCCTCTCTATCACCGCGAAACAGCACTACCATCATATTTTCAGTCAGTCTCCTGACTTTAGTGAGAGCTATGCATTGCAATAATACATTAACATCCTTTGATGATATATAATGTATAATGTGGATATATTTGCCCCAAGCTTTGCTTCTCTGCAAGCGGGATGTTCCATAAAGCGAAAAGTCTCCTTTTCAGAAGAGCATCAACGAACCAGGAAAACCATTTAACAGCAACGAAATAGTTTTTGACTCTCTGACTAGCGTGTACGTTAACATGCCAAATTTTCTCGGATGCAAAAAAATACACGTACTCATCGCTATCTACGAACGGCGTCAAATGTGAAGTGTTTGGAGATAGTGCGCTCCAGTTGAAAAAACGGTGCTCTAATCGAAATGGCGATGGAGCGCACCTGCAACTCCTCCCAGGTCCGAGCACTTTTACGGGCGTTCGTGAAAGATCACTAGCGCAAGGCAAACTGCCAGTAAGAGACGCAGCGATTATTGTCTCTATAAAAGTCGGCTAAGATCTGTAGATTCTCAGTGCTTCTCTTCACTTGAGGCTGGCAAATCGTCTTACGTTCTTTTGAGTTTTCGGAGTTTTGACAGGTGTGAAATTCTATTCGATTTCCGTAGACGTTCTCGTGAACGTGAACTAAATATCCGTTCGCGCAATGTCCTGGAAGTACATGCTTCCTAGAAGGCTTATACGGGAGAAAGCGCCAATCGATGCTTACGTTTACGTCATCATACAAATTATTCCAATGCTTCGTGGATAATTTGTTTGAGCGACAGTGCTTTGCGAATAATTTGTATGATGACGTGAATATTAGATGTTTTTGAGTGCCAACATGACAGTCGCCGGCTTTCAAATTTATGCGATTTGTTTGAGGTTATAATTAGTTCGGATAGCATTCGAAGCTGCTTAGTCAGCCCGTATGCGCAGTTCTTTGTCCTGGACTCTCTTACGCCGAGCGAGGGTATAATCGAACACAGCTGGAAATTCGGCGGGACAGGAAGAGAAACGTAGCGGGGAATCATATTTCCATGTCTTTATCTGCTACTGGAAGTTTTATGGAAAAGGCAGATTAGCAAGCTGCATTTTTCTGATTTCTAACGATTTTTAGCCTTGATTCTCACGTAAGTTTTTTGTCTAAGTGATGTTTCGAGGATTTACGCTGCTGGCTGAGCATTGAAATCGATTTGATAATCATTAAAATATTTTACGATTTATTAAAATAATTTGATAATCACAAAATTTGTCTAAATGGATTTTTTGGAATGTAGAAAAATCATCGAAAGTCAAAAAATCTACAACGCTTTTCCGGAGTAAATGGGTTCACCTAACGGCTCAATCTTGAAAGTGGAATTTAGGTAAATCCATTTATCCTTGGGAAGTTCCTGTGCCAGTTTCTGAATAAATGGAAAAATTTGGGAAAATTTAAGAGATTATTGTTTCAGCCTCTAAATAAAATTTTTAAACCCTAAAAAGTTGCCACTTCAATCTTCTCATGAAGTCACTAAATTAGGATCTTCCACGTCCACGGTCTTCATAACAAAAATACAGTTTGGAGGGTTTATCCATCAAGAGCTCTTGCCCTTATCAGCCAGGCTTTTTCCAGGATAATCACTTGCCATCAAATCACGCAAGATCCCTTCATCATCTCCTTTTCCTCCGCTAATTCCCCCTCCCCCCCCCCCATACTCCTAATCAGTTGCTGTTTTGTTAACAACCAAGCTATCTCTTTAGCTGTGCTGAAGTTACTTCCTGATCCCAAGTCTCCCCAGCGACATCGATTTTGCAAGTACCCTAAGCTACCGTATTCGGCTTCGTAAATGCTTTTCACATGCTCGACGCATGTTTGTCGGCTTCGCTGCGGCTTTTTATAGATGTCGTCCTCGTTCGAAAGTTTTCACGTGCGCGACATGTGCGCAGCCTGTCAGCTACCTGGGTGCGGTACATAAGTAGAGCACGAGAAGTTATCTTTGAAGGTTATGTATGTGACAGGGTAATTTATCACACTGTTGACGAAATAGCTGGTTAAGTCATACAGAAGCATTGGGGGTCAAAGTTTCACCTATCTTCTTGGTTCCAGTTTTCAAATGTTTACTTAGCTGTGCTTGAGATGACTGCGTAGTTCTTTTACTATGTGATGAACTTATCTTGAAGCAATAGGGCATGTGTAATATGCGAGCACTTCCTGACGTTTTTTGAGATTTACGTAGTGTCTGTGTAAATTGCAAAGTGCTATGCTAGTTACCCCGGTTGACAGTGATGGGCCTTGTGTACAAGTACTATCACTACGATGCACTTTATTAGAGATGAAGCAGGTATTTTTTGTTCGTTTTTTGGTGTTATTTGAAGAATCTCGCCTTAAAACCGCGTAGAAGCCTTGATTTGAACATTTGATGGCACTGTCAAAGTCTTCAAAGCTTCTGCTTGCGTTCTTAAGGTCCAAATTAAGCATTCGTAGATTGATTTCGAATGCAGTATGTAATCACCCAGCTAAGGCTATAACCAGTGGAGATCTCATAAATGGTAAGTTCATGGCAAAAATTTTTATGGTTTATGGGCAGGGAATAACAGAATTCTATTAGCAGGATTTCTCACTGTTTTTTAGCATCAGATTTTCATAATTGTCATCATAGGCAACGCTTTCTTAGATACTGGGACTAGCCATAAGATTTTGAACGACTTGTGTATTGTCATAAAAAATTCCTCCCAACCAAGTTTTGAGAAGAATACAGATATTAGTTAAATTCTTCCTTAAATTGCGATGGATTTTTGTCATCATAGGTTACTTAACCAAAGAGAATTCAATTTTGTAGAAAGGATGTTGTAAATTTACCTGGTAGAAGCTGCTTTTCTTCTATAGAAACAAAAAATATTTCATTTTCTGAGGATTTCCAGAATTTCAAAAATCAATACAGTGTGCATTTCTCTTCATCTCCATACAATCCCGTAATCTTTCCCCGCTAAGCCCGTCTATGTACTTTGCCCCGCCCACAGAAGACTCTCGACTCCCAACCAGCTTTGAGGGGCGGAGCTTCGGGGCGTTAACCGACCCCCCCCCCCCCTCTACGAGCTTCAGTGCTCATATTCACTGTTCAGCTTTTGGCTTCGTTTAGTTGTGTTCGTTTCATACAGTCCTCTCTGTGCCTTGTTCACTACTCAATGAATTTTGATTTTCTTGAGAGAGTTCCAGTGTAATTGCACTAATTTTTTCAGAGTTATCCCCCAAACAGAGCGATCTGTTGGTTTTTGCAATGAAGAAGAAGATCTTCTGCGAAGGTTCTCTTCTCGATGCAGTACAGCGAGGACATCTATTCGCCGACTGCAAACATTTTGTAGATATGCCGTTGAAGTTTGACGCTGGTAAGTTCTCATTGTTGATCAGCTCATAATTTTTGGGTAGGGAGGGGAGGGGGGAGGGAAGAAATGCGGAGGAAGAATTTCGGTTCACATTTACTTGCTTGCCTCCTATGTCTTGTGGATTACGGTAGAGACATATCTTACGTCAGCTCATACATATCTAGTAAGCTTTCCTACCTTCATTTGATTTGTCATAAGGAATTAGCACATCTGTTTCTAGACATCTGGTAATTATACCCATGTGAAAAACATGCAATTATCCCTTTCATTGCGTCAGTGAGAAACCTACTCTAATATAGCGAGAACCCAGCCACTATTTACCATATATACCATAATGTTTGGTACAAAAAATTATTCAAATGCTGATACATCACTCTATGATTTTGCGTAAATTTATTAATATTAGAATAGTAGCAATAACAGAAATAATAAAAAATAGAACTAGTAGAAATAATACATCAAGATGCCCAGGTTCAAATAAGGGAGAACTTGGAGCTTTTAAATGCTGATTTCTGAGATTTACGTAAAGTTGATGTTGTTTTTAAAACTGAGACATGTAGATCTATGGGTAAAAAATAAAACTAAGGGCAAACATTAGTAGATTTCTTTGTTTATCCCACGTAATGCATCAAGAAAAGTAGATTATAGCGCAAAATAGCACTTAATTGATTGTACGATGTACGATGTTGATCCTCGCGAAAATAACCCAGAGATCCGCGGCAGTCTGTGAAAACCGACCTTCAAGCTTTTTTTTTTCGTAACGGGCTCGGCTTGTCACACTTTGCGTGCTGACGTTCTCATCGATCAGGCCGGCTGTGTAAACTGCATCACATTGTCCGCAGTGCGTGTGAGTGCAGCGCGCACTGCGGACAACGTGATGACGATTGGATGGCTTGGGTGCATGCATTGCTCAACGGCTTATAGGGGCGAAAAAAAAAGGGAGGCAGTGAAGCGGAAATGATGTGGAGAATGGGGAGAAGGAACAAATGTGTGCCAGATGGGAAGTAATTGAGCGAATGTGAATGTAATTGAGCGTTTTTTCCAGAGACCACCCTTGTCCGCTGGGAAGCCCTGCGTGCAGCTGGTCCAGTGAGCGTCGAACGTCTTCGCGAATTTGTTGATGAGTTCTTTGACCAGCCTGAAGACGAACTAGTAGGCTGTGAACCGATTGACTGGGATCCGTCGGTAAGTAGCTTCTTTTTTGTGATAAAAAAGTCCTATACTGATATGGTTCCTGATTTTAGGAAGATCTTTTCCACTCAATCAAGGACGAAAGCTATCGCGCATTTGCTGTAGCTCTACATCAGAAATGGCCTACACTCTACAGAAAGGTTCATTACAAAACTTTAGTCTCGGTTCCTCTTCTTGCCTCCTCCGCCGCCACCACCGCCGCCTGCCCGCCGCCCGCCCGCCACCGCTCTGCTCGCCTACCGTTCACCAGCAACCAACCCGACAAGCAACCAAGCTGATCGCGTGTAGCCGTCTCGAGAAATAAAACAGAATGGGTGTGACACAAATGGTGCAAGAGCTGGAAATAACGAGGTGAATATATAGCATTGTCATGCCGATGCAGATTAGTGAACGAAGTGACGAGATCGGTGACGACCTCGTCACTCACTGTAGATTAGAATTTGCATCGGATTTATATGTATTAGATATATGTTGTGTTGCGAATCTGCCAACTGGTAGTAGGCGGAGCTCGAGCTACTGAGCTCCGCCTACCGGCGCCAAGAGCTAGCGTAGTTGGCGTACTATATACCGTAACCTTACCGTATATGGTGAACGCTTCAACAGCGAAGCAGAACAGAGACTTGGAGACGAGGCGGTGAGATGTGGTAAATTGCGTTTTCTTGCGCCACTATTGAATCATTTCCGAAGTCTATCGAAGTCTTTTAGATTTCCGACAGCGTACGTGTTAAGCCAGAAAGATACTCAATCATACCGGTACCTAACCCTTTCGTTATACCCGGTGGAAGGTAGGCGTGTTTTTTTCCAAAAATAAATCTACGTTGAGGGCAATGTTCTGTTGTTTACAGATTCCGCGAAATCTACTATTGGGATAGCTTTTTCATCATCAAAGGACTCCTGGCTTCACATATGTATGTAACCGTGCGTGGAATGATCGAAAACATGCAATATCTTATTGAAGAGTACGTTTTCACTTCATCTCTACTTTTGAATAAGTTATTTTAGGCGTAATTGTACGAAAGGGCAGATAAAACTCGATCAGTGGAAAATGAAGCTTTCTAGAAGAATCGATATAAGGTCCTAATGATCCTCTTTTCCAGATTTGGATTCGTGCCAAATGGAAATCGTATCTACTATCTTAACCGTTCTCAACCCCCTCTACTTACATGGTCTGTTCACGCATACTACATGGCTACTAACGATTTGGAATTTGTCGAAAAACTTCTCCCAACATTGCGCAAAGAGGTATGTTTTGAGTGATCGGAGACAAAAGGAAGCTGCTACGAAATATTGAGCCTGTAATGTTTTTTAGATGGCGTTTTTCCAAGCGAATAGGTCCGTAATTATGGAGGGATGGCCCGGTCCACTATATCGTTACCGTGTCGTAGCAGATGCACCTAGACCGGAGAGTTACCGTGAGGACATAGAGAGTGCTGCACATCTACATGAGGGTATGTTTCTTGCTAATTTAGCTTTTGGGATCGAAATCATTGTAATTTTTGCAGAAGCTGACAAACAGAAATTATGGGGTGACATCGCCGCTGCTGCCGAAAGTGGACGAGATTTCTCCAGCCGATGGTTCGGTCTAACGGGGCCATGGGCAGGAAAAATGGAATCTACTAGGTTTGTCATTGAAGTTGGGTCGAGTTCGAGCTTTGCTGATGGTTTCCTTATAGGACTAGCTCAATCGTGCCTGTAGACTTGAATGCTATTATCTGCGGTAATCTTCAACTAATGGGTGATCTCTACGATGCCATCGGTGATATCGATGGATCTAAATGGTGTGCGCAATCAGCCGATCTCATGAAGCAAACCATTCATCAAGTAGGTCAACCAAAATATTGGTCAGATAAGAAAAAATAGTGTTCAAAAATTATTCGAATATTTCTTGTAGGTTCTTTGGAACGAAACTGTTGGTTGCTGGTTTGACTACGACATAGAGAATGACAAGCATTTGCATCAGTTCAGCGACACCAATTTCTTCCCAATGTACACAAAAGCCACCCATGCAAGTGAGTCTCAAAACCAGGAAAGAAGTAGATCCCCGACATTCTGCTCAAATATATTTTCAGCCTTTGATTCTGAAAGTATAGTGAATTATTTACGTGGTACTGGTGTACTCGATTTTCCTGGAGGTGTGCCAAGTTCCCTGGTTGCCAGCGGTAAGTTCAAACTTGCCCTTTAACGAGATTGCTAAGAGCGCGGGTCCCTAGAAACGGAAGTGGATATTTTCAGGACAACAATGGGACTTTCCGAATGCATGGGCACCAACAATGTGGGTTTTGATTGAAGGATTGAGACTCAATGGTCAGAAAGAAGTTGCTCTTGAAATAGCGGAAAAATGGATTCGAAAAAATTTCAACATGTGGAGAGCAACTGGTGGAAAGATGTATGAGAAGGTTAGTTTTTCTTCTGGGAAATGTCCTGGCTCAGAGAAGGTGCGTACCAAATATGTCTAAATTTATTGGGTAATTTTAGTACAATGTGGTATCCGCCTGCTATAAAATCATTGGTGGAGGTGGAGAATATGAGATGCAGGAAGGTTTCGGTTGGACCAATGGAGTTCTTCTGGACCTGCTGGTCACCTATGGCAATCAGTTGGTCTGGACACCGGCCGAGGAATGCCAATGCTGTGTACTTGATTGCGTCTGCCTTGTTTAGTCTAGAATTTGATTAGTACTAGAAAAGCAGCAGCTTTCGCTTCTGCTATGAAGGAGCCTCTACGTATCAGCTCCATAAATAACGATACGCACAAAATTTTTTGTAGGACGACGTTGTTGAGTTTTCTGGGTTTTCTCTAAGTAGAAAAGAAGAATGTAACGATCAGATCATATTGCATTTTCACAAAAAGTCACTGAAGTAGCAGCGATAATTGTTGAAAATCTAATAGAAAAATGTCAAAAATGAGCTTTTACTTTGTCGGTTGTACATACGAATTATACTGCATGCTCTTTTCCCTTATTATATACTGGCTGTGTCATCTCCATCTGACAACAGCAATCTACAACAGTCTCTCTGTTTGCATTGGGCGGAATAACTCTCAACTTGAAACTCCATCACTCGTCTATTTGTTAAACAGTAGATTGCATATTGTTCATAGTTGTGATGTGACACAGCTTTGCTGAGTCTGTGACTATTTCGTTTTAGTAGTGGTATTTTAGCGTTTGAGTATGTATAGGCGGGTTCCGACAATCCATGCTGCGTGTATTTTTTGTTGAATAAAGAATTGAAAGTTTTTTCTGCTAAGTTAGTGAAAAGTTATTAGGGAAAGCAAAAGGTTTTGCAAAAAAGTCCAAATTTATCATTTGTACACATGTCGGGTTTACGAAGTGCAGTTGAAGGCAGCGCCCAGGCAAATCTGGACGGGTTCTCACTTGGATAGTAATTTTTGGGCCCTAACTAAGCCACTGCCTAACCGGCAGCTCAGGTAGTGCTCTAACGGCTGAGATATTTGCCTCAAAACTGGACTCAAGATCGTATTTCGCATGTTCATGGCTCAAGCCATCAGTTTCGCGCGGGACCCATGGGTTGCGCCATGAATCCGTGCGGAAGACGCTCCTGGGGTCCAGTTTCGAGGCGAATATCTCAGCCGTTAGAGCACTACCTGACCTGCCGGTTGGGCAGTGGCTTAGTTACGGCCTCGAAATTACTATCCACGTGAGAGCCCCATACAGTCGATGTCAATTACGTACTCCCTTTCGCATGGGAACTACGCATGCGCAACGCAAGGATCCTGCATGCGGACCTTCAATCGATAAGGCCCACTTGAATGCTCGAGTCATACGCGCGCGAACGTGGCGCGAAGCTCACTGCATTTACGGGAAAAGGAGCACGTGATTGACACGGACTGTATGTCCAGGATTCCCTGGGCGCTGCCTTTAAGTCATTATTTGATGGGATTTGGTAGTTCGTCCCGAAATTCATGTCCTTTTTGGATATTAACAACAATGAATAAATCATACACCTCTCGAAATCTAGATAGGTTCTGAAGTACCATTTCATAGAGGCTAAACAAGTTCTATAAGATGACGTTTTTGCTTTTGCTTCAGCTTTGACTCACCCTGAGTTTGAAGCCAAAAACTCTAATGGTTCATTTGCACGAAAATCGAGAAAAAATCGTAACTTCATTCTAAAAAATCCTACAAAAATCCTAGCTTGCTCGCTTGTACATCTTCCACATCAGATATTTATATCAGGCTGCTGAATTAGTTCTGTCCGATTTTTTTTTGCCTTGTGCTTGAAGCAACTGCGCTAAGAGAATTTCATCTTTAATGCGATATTGTTGGTATCATTAGAAAGTGCTTTTCTTGCTTTTTCTAACACATAAAATTTCATTAAATTTCTTAGTGTAAGGAGATTTCAGACCTAAAACTCCAAGTAACCGAGGTACGTTCTCACCTAAAAATATGTTCTTGCGAGAAAATCTCCGTAATGTACCCTTCAAGTCAAGTCTTTCATTGGTTGCGGAATAAGGGTGTAGGAGGCTAATATATGCAGAAACTCAGTTTCATGAAGAAAACGTCTTGCTAGTAAAATTTGTTGTCGAACATTAATTTTTTGTATAAATGTTTTACAGGCAATAACTTCCTGCGAATAAAAGTAATCGACGAGTTCAAAGTTGGAGGTGCTAGGGTGAGGCAAGAGCTAGCAGGGCCCATCCATCAATTCCTTTTCGGCGCTCATGTCAGTTGTAAAATTTTCATAATTCGTAAATGGTCATGCATTGTGCTGAAACGAGAAAAACCGAAAAACGCTGTGAAGGTTTTAAGTTCTCGCTTCTTCCTTAACGAGGATTTTTGCAAGTCTCAATATGTGCCTGATTGCCAAGGCTACTCAACACAAAGATCATAAAAAAGAGTTGATTTTGAAAGAAGTTATGACATTTTGAACTCAAAAAATTCAAATCGGACAGAACTTATGCAGCAGCCTAATATATGCCTTTGCTGAATTTTTTCCTCGGTTAGAAATCAAGTGAACGAAATTGTTCATGCTATTGCCAGAGTGACTCTGCGCTGCTCTCGCATAGGTAATCGTACACTATGACCCAGTAGAAGTATAAGCGTAGAATTTCAGCATTCTACGAGTTTTCTTCTCAATGATTCACACTAAGGTCCATATTTCTCGAACAGTGGAGCTTGTGGAGAGTTGAAACTGTTTGTCTTCTAGGTTTATAGTATACAATTGCTCATGTAGGAATAGCGCAGCATAACTTTGACAAAAACATGAAGATTTTCGTTTTCTTAATTTCAAGCGAGGAAAAAATACAGTAACGGTATACATAGATGTCTGGTGTGGAAATGTACTCAACACATTCACGACAAGGCCGATTTTTCGATTACTGCCGTTTTGTACTAGAGCCTTTTTTGCTTTGTCAAGCTTACAACCTACCCCTGGGTCGCATTGTTGTGCATGTGTTAAGCAAGCATCTTTATAGGATTTTATTGGATGGAGCTACGATTTCTTCTCGATTTTCGGGCTAATGAATCTTTTTAGTTCCTAGCTTCAAACTTGAGATGGATCGAAGCTGGTGCAAAAGCAAAAACGTCATCTTATAGAGCACGCTTACAAGGGAATGGTCAGAAGTCGAAGTGGCCAATCCAAACAGGCTACATACCATTAGACGCAGCACGAAACGCTGACTCTACATCTTTCTTCCTTATCTGCTTATTGCTTTTTTGGACGAAGTTATAAGCCATTAAAGGCCATTGTTTTGCTAAGGAATTGTGCGTGGAAGTGAAAATTTGGCCGTACAATGCCATGTTCTGGTTAATTCTGGGCGGAAACATGCGGCTAGGTTGCTTCGTACAACCCATACTTAAAGACTGAGAGGGAGATTATGTGCTTAATTTCGCCGTTTTTATGTAGGTTTTTTTCGCAATAAAACTACTTATAGCTTCGTCCACAAAAGCGGTAAGCAGATAAGGAAGACAGATTCGAAGTCAGCGTTTGATGCTGCATCGAATGGTATACAGCTTGTTTGGTTTGGCCATTTCGACTTTTGACCATTCCCTTGTTAGCTCCATCAAATGGTACTTCAAAATCTATTCAGAATTGAGAGGTGCATGACTTATTCCAGTTGAAATTCAAAACAGACATTAATTTCCAGACAACATAATATATGTGAAACTTATCGGCAATGTGTTTTGTGACTTGCTTCATGCAATGAATCAGCTTGGGAAGAAAGTGGAACCCGCCGTTTCATTGGAATAGGAGTAAATAGATTTTTAGCTGACGCGCTCGAAAACTTGTTGATACAACAATATAAGCCATATTCACTTTGTCATATTCAGCTGACTTTATCACTGTAGTGCCTACGAGAGATGGTGTATGATTGTGAGCGGAAAAAGTTAGCAAACTAGGCAGGGCACTTCACTTCGGTTGCCTGTCGTTATAACAAGAGAAAGCTCACCGTTCTCTACCATTTTTGAGCAACATTTCGTGAATAAGTAAGAATTTTCATAGGATTTTTTAAAGGGTCGCGATATTTCTTAATTTTTCTTCGGGTTTACGGGGACATGGATTTTCCTAGTTTTTGGCTGATAACCGCGTGGATTAAAGCCGGTGCAGAACTGTGGTCATAGTCTTAAAGGGCTATTGAATAATATTAGGTTGGTGCAAAAGTAATGCGCGTTTCCTAGTTTTCACTTTGACGTGCTATAACTTTCTAAAAAATCCACATTCTTCAGTGCGGTAAAGAACATCAGAGGCACCAAATGTTTCCCAATACACATCTACCTATGCTCATATCCCCAATGGGCACAAAAATATGGATTGATCAGCAAAAAAAGTTTTCTTTCTAAAACCCCGTTTTTAGCGGATCATAGCTACCTTCAAATTTGTAAATGTGAATGATAAGTAGTCTGTCTTGTAGCCACAAGCCAGTAGTACAAAAAAGTCATAAGGAGCTCAAACAAAGAAGAATTGCGAACAGGATAAAATTAATATTCAAATTGTACGCTTTTTTCGACATTTTTTCGTAGGCCCCAAAATCCCCGAAATATTGAGATTTTTGATTTTCTGTCTACTGAACAGCTTCCATATTTCTGCGAAAACTATCAAAGAAGGGCCCACCACTACGCTTACAGAAATGAGCAAAACTTTGGCGATTGCCCTCTTCAAAGGAAATTTATGAGCCACAGAATAGCTATAACCACTACTCATGTTGAGGCGGCGACATCTCAATCTAGGTTATTTCTTAGAAAATACTAAAGTATGTATAATGTAGACAATTTCTATAACATACAATATCAGAATTTTCAAAAGAATGCCTTTATTCGGCTTGAATTCTAGTCGAAAAAGTAAGTGCAATGAAATTCTGGTTTCGAGTGCGGTTGTATGAGTCCCTTCTAACGAATGAGGCTAAAAGCTTCTTTCTACCATCGTTGGATAGAGCATGAAAGGAGCTTCTTGAAAGTATATAAGTTTTTTTTCTAAAGGAGAAAGTCTGATGGAGATACGTTGTTCTGAAACGAGGGCTAGAAAAACGCGCATTACTACTTTGCCTAAGTAAGCATGTGCTGGTCGAGCTTCTGAAGTTGCGAATTTCGAGTAAACAACACAATGCGAAAAGATTAATTTTGACAATTTTCTTATGTATTAAAACTTCCGCTAGATGAGCTTGATTAGCACGCAAACAATTCACCGGAACTTTAACTTGAACTTCAGTTCGAGCAAAATTTGCAGCGGTATAGCAGATTTTGTATACTATCACGAAAGTGGAAACCTCGAGATGGGAGCCTTCACAGGATTTTGACTTTAGACTAGTTAAAAACGGGGATCTTCGCACGACTTGTTACAAAACGCTGCGAAAAGTCCGGAAGATGGCATATTCAGCAGCACTTTGACCGGCCAATACTTCCGCAGGATTTTGAAGGTGTTCTCTCTTACCACGTTGTCTCGTTAACGACTGTAATGCATTGTTGAACATGTCATATGTACAGAGGATAGTGAGCAGGGTCAAGAGGAGGTATGGTCAGGACCTGGCACAGATCGTCTGGAAGCAGGTTGGACTTCGTTCTTGGAGCAAAAACAAAGAAAATATCGGTTTTGACGAGTCCGGGCCGAGCACCAAGAACAAGCGCCATTGTCGAACACAAACTCTTCGAACAGGTCATCACACGATTGACATGGTCTATCGTGTATGACGAAAGTGCGCGCGATTTGAAAGCAAGGCTAAAATAAACAAATTGCTTGTTTACAACGCAGA